ACACACTGACTGACTGGACACTACAGTACATTAACACTGCACTGAGAGAGAGGGGTTCATACAGACACACTGACTGGACACTACAGTACATTAACACTGCACTGAGAGAGAGGGGTTCATACAGACACACTGACTGGACACTACAGTACATTAACACTGCACAGAGAGAGGGAGGAGTGGGGTGCCCGTGACTCGTACCCCAGGCAGGTGTAGTGTGGCAGAATTACTCTGCTCTTGCTCGTCAGCTTGATGTCCAGGACAGCCGTGTCTGTGCTGCCCCACGGCACAGTCTTGACACACAGTCGCTTCTTCTTCAGCACTGACACTTCTGGACAGAGGGACGGACAGAGGTCAGAGACAGCTCACCGTGTTTTAAACAAGCAGAACTTTAATCAGTATTTCCGAAAAAATTAATCGTAAAAGTAATTCAGTAAAATAAGGTCACAGAGGACAATTTTCTCCATCACATACCACAGTAACTCACTGCCCTCTCTCTACTGCCCCATGGTACTCAAAAGTATTTATTTGCTTCTATCACCCACTGGTGCTTTGGAGTGCTTACTGCTCTCTATCGCCCCTTGGTGCTTGGGGGTGCTTACTGTCCTCTTAAATTTCTAATTCAGTTTTATTGGCATGACCGATGAACTACAGTGTTGCCAAAGCAGATACATTCAATACAACGTCTACAGACATGTAGATGACAACATAAACAAATCATGGGACATTTACATACAACATACAACACAAGAACACTACTGAGAGACAGGCTCACTGCTCCTCAGGCTGTGACAGGAGATGACTCTCCCTCTCCCAGTAGGATTGGGACCTGTTCTGATTCTGGCAGATGTGGGAATTCTGGGATTAGATTTGTTATTTGGGGGAATAATATTGGTCTAATCGCAGAGTATTTCTCACTGTGCATCTCTGTCTTTGTTTTTCTTTGCTGTCAGTGGGAGCATAGCCTGTCTTTGTTTGGCAGTCAGGTCAGCTTCTATGGCCAAGGTGGTATCACTGAACTTCTCCTCTCTGGACAGCTATGTCTACCTGTGTCCAGTTTCTATGGCCTGGCTAGTATCACTGAGCCTGTCCTCTCTAGGCAGCCAGGTCTGCCTGTGTCCAGTTTCTATGGCCAGATTGTAGTAATTGAGCCTGTCCTTCTTCAGGGTCTGTTTCACTTTGCTGTTTCCTGGTCAGGCATTCAGCTAGTGTGTACTTTCTGTTTAGGGTTCTGTAGCAATCCCCTATCGCCCCCTGCTGCTGTGGAGAACTCACTGTTATCCAGGTACTCTGGGATGTAGCAGTACCCATGAGGGATGGTCTCCTTGTCCAAGACAATCCGAATGTCCTGCACCACCATACTTGCAGTCATGCTCTGCCGGAGAGAGGGAGAGAGACATGGGGTTTGAATCCAAGTTCAGCTTCTTAATGTTAAGATTCCCCATAAGAACGCAGGAAAGGTGACAGATAACAGGAGGCCATATGGCCCATCTAGATCGTTATGTCCGTGTACAATACCGATAAGTCAGAAAGCTGGTACGGGCAGTGAGAATCTGGACCGGGCTCCTTACAACCCACATACCGCAGGGCACATGGCCCACAGCTCTATCACCCTGCAGCTCACAGCAGGCAGCCCGCTGTAGCTCAGCAGGTGTGAGTCTGGCCAGTACCTGGGTGGGAGACTCCTGGGAAAGCTAAGGTTGCTGCTGGAAGTGGTGTTAGTGGGGCCAGCAGGAGGCGCTCACACTGCTGTCTGTGTGGGTCCTAATGCCCCAGTATAGTGACGGGGACACTATACTGTAAAAAGGTGCCGTCCTTCACATGAGACGTAAAACCGAGGTCCTGACTCTCTATGGTCATTAAAAATCCCAGGGTGTTTCTCAAAAAGAGTAGGGGTGTAACCCCGGTGCCCTGGACAAATGTCCCCCACTGGCCTCCTAATAACCCCCATGTCTGAACTGGCTTCATCACTCTGTTCTCCTCCTCACTGCTAGCTGGTGTGTGGTGAGCGTTCTGGCACATCATTAAGGTGGGGCTGGACACTGGTGGTGGTGGAGAGGAGTTCACACTACCTGTAAAGAGCTTTGAGTGGAGTGTCCAGAAAAGCGCTATATAAGAGTAAGGACTTACTATTATTAATAATAAAAACAACAACAACAACAACATTAATAATAATAATAATAATAATAATAATAATATGAAGAGACAGACGGCTATCTCCAAAAACGAACGCCAGATCTTTCAGCATGGAGCTCCCAGGAGTTCGGAAGAGGGCGCGAACAACTCTCCCGGAGATATCCTCCTGGCTCCTCACCGTGCTGAAGCACAGGTAGTACCCCGACTTCAGCCCGAACCCCTTGGCGAAGTGGGCCGCCGACCCCTCGTGCGTCGTGGTGATCTGCCGGGAGAAAGGCCGAGGAGAGAGGCACCAGGTTTCTTGGGGTGAATCGATCAGGGGTGTGTAGAAGACAAAATACGGACATCACTAATTGAGGTATGGATTGTATAAGGTATAGGGGACCACAGCTACAGTACGTATAATAAGGATATGGGGTACAGAGAATATAGGATAGTGGGGACCAGTGTATAGGGGATAGAGTATAGATTTTACAGGGTATAGACCAGGGTAAAGGGGAGAGGGTGTAGAGTCTACAGGGTATAGACCAGGGTATAGGGGAGAGGGTGTAGAGTCTACAGGGTATAGACCAGAATATAGAGGACAGAAAACAGGGTATAGAGGACCAGAATATAGAGGACAGAGTGTACAGGGTATAGAGGACCAGGATAGAGGGGACAGAGTGTACAGGATATAGAGGACCAGGATAGAGGGGACAGAGTGTACAGGGTATAGAGGACCAGGATAGAGGGGACAGAGTGTACAGGGTATAGAGGACCAGGATAGAGGG